CTGTTATAGAGCAGAATGTCTGGTTTCCAAATCTGGCCGTCTGGGAAACGCACAGTCTTCACTCCCGGGTATTCTGACACATTCCACTGTAAGTAGTGATCTGTCCAAGACTGACACACACAATGACATTAGCAGCACTTCACTTCCTTGCCTACTTATATTTCTTATACGCGATTATTAGCTAAGGGCAAAGTCGAAGAGAATCCCAGATATTTATTGTAACCGAATTGCTATTTATAAAATATAATGAAAATGAGAATTCAATAATCCCTTCCAAAATGACGTGAAGAGCGTAAAAATCACATTTAAGGCCCTGCTGTCACCATGAACACATTCAGATGGCAGCAATGAAGTGAATTCCAACTCTCTGCATGTCCCCGAGCCTTCTCCTCCTGCAGTGGATGGGTTACTTCTAGCCAAGTGAAAACCGTTTTGCTTTCAGAGTTTTCACTGTGAGGATACTCTGAAAAAAGAAATTCACCTATTTCCTTTGGAATAAGAACCCGGCTGAAGGAATGTGGAATATTTATTTCCATAAAACAATACTGTGAAGATGCATGGGAACCTCTCAGAACTTCTAACAGAATGTTTTCAGATTTGAATTCTTCTTCTGTCACAGGGATAGTGCTTCTGAAATCTGACAATGCAAACGCTGAGCTCTGACGGTGAAACAGTCAGGATGAAAGGACGCAGGTGAGGACTCAGGAAGCACTCACGCAAGCTCAGGGCCAGGCCTTAATTAAGGTTATCGAGTGACTTCTGCCAGGGGAAAAACCATGTCTAGGGTCCTCCCTCCCAGGACCAGGTGCTAAACAGCCCTTCCTAGAGCCCACAAGCTCTGCAGAGGATGCTCTGGTGGGATCCTACCTGCAGCTGCCACATAACCATCAACACCCCACGGGAGGCTCAGGGCTGACAAGTTTGAACTCAGAAGCTCCTATAATTGCACCATTATCCTGTATTCTGAACCCCCGGTACCGCCCATGCTCTGGAGTTCACGCTTTCCAAGATTCAGAAAAGTATGTGATGCACCACCCCAACCTGGGACCAGAGTGGCTCCTCACAGTCAAATGTGGTAATTTCTGCGGCAAAACATGCCTATTTCCACCAAGTGAGACCAATAAATGCCTCGACTGCACGTAGATTTCAATTTGACTCCAGATCAAAAGAGTTTGATGCAAAGTTACAAAAACAACATCAAAGGAGGGGGGAGGAAATGTCAGAGGGGCTGAGATTTGGGATTGCAGATGAGGGGCTATGGGCCTAGAGCTATTGATACTGCCAACAAGGGAGTCAAAAGACATGTCCCAGACCAACCATCCTCTGCGGAGGGCAGGCAGCATCCACAGAGATAGTCCCAGGTCTAGAAGGATCTAATCTGACATCAGAGGAGAGGAACTATCCAGGTGAGTGACATCACTTTGCAGCCAGGGACCTCCAGCAATGAGGATGTGTTCATGGGTGATGTGCCATAGTATCCTCTGGGGCATTCAGAATTGACAGGTGCCTGATGGGGTCTCTAATGAGATGGACATGGTTGGGGAGGGGCGGGGGGGCATACCCAGAAAGGGTGGGTCCTGTCCCAGCTGTCTTCCAGGAATGCCTGGGTACCAACCAAGCCTCGCTTCCTACAGCTTGCTCCAACTTGGCACCTCTGCCCTTGCTTCCCTTCATCTCTCTCCCTTGCCATGGGCACGAGGCCCTTCCACAGCCAACACCTGTGCTTTCTGTGCCACAGTCTTGCCTCTCACCCTGGGATGCTTCTCTGGCTTGGTCACTAATTATCACAGAGCCAGTCACCTTCACCATTATTACCACATGGGTCAGGGCCACAAGGTTCCATAACTGCCCTGGTAAGTGGGCATGATAATCCAAGGCACTTCTCCCCTCTCCCCTGCCTGCTGAATAATGGCTGGAGATGGAGGGAAGACAGGAAATGGGAATTGGAATGGGAGTGCTTGGTTGGTCAAACCCAGACCTCTTCCAAGACATAGCCAGAGCTGCACACTGCCTCCCCACACCCATATACCCCACTGTGTGTAGCAAGAACTCATCCTTTCCCAGCCAGACCACAGCCTTTATGCTAGTCCAGTGTCCTGTGTATGTCCAGACTCACGATAGTCCGGGAGGGTCAGCGTGATGACTGCTCCCATTTACAAGAGGAAGCTGGGGTTCAGAAAGCTAGGAGGTTTTAGTCACTGGGTCAGGACTTAACTGTGTTATTTGACTTTAAGCAAACTGATCTTTGGGCTCTACTAGAGCTGGTTCTTCTGGCTCAATCTCCCTGATGCTGCTGCCCATCTGCAATTTTCCCTTGCTCCAAAGCAGGCTGACCATTGTGTCAGAGGCGTTTGAACCAGGGCAACTCCATCTTAAACAGGAGCTGGGTAAAACAGGGCTGAAACTTCCTACTGGGCTGTGTTCCCAGATGGTGAGGCATTCTAAGTCACAGGATGAGACAGGAGGTTGGCACAAGGTACAGGTCATCAAGACCTTGCCGATAAAACAGGTTGCAGTAAAGAAGCTGGCCGAATCCCACCAAAACTAAGATGGCCACAAGAGTGACCTCTGGTCATCCTCAGGGCCACACTCCCAGCAGCGCCACGACAGTCTAGAAATGCCATGGCAACATCAGGATGTTACTCCATATGGTCTAAAAAAGGGAGGCGTGAATAACCTACCCCTTGTTCAGCATATCATCAAGAAATAACCACAAAAATGGGCAACCAGCAGTCCTTGGGGCTGCTCTATGGAGTAGCCATTCTTTTACTCCTCTACCTTCTTAACAAACTTGCTTTCACTTTACAGACTTTCTTTGAATTCTTTCTGGCGTGAGATCCTAGAACCCTCTCTTGGGGTCTGGATTGGGACCCTTTTCCAGCAACAGCTATGGCAGAAAAGGTGGGGGGAGCTGCAGAAAGCATCCAAATCAGACAGACCTGGGTTTGCACCAAGGCTCTGGCAGAGACTAGTGGTGGGAGCTTGTTCAGGCAAATCACTGTCTCTTAACTGCAGGTTCCTTGTACGTACCCTGCCTCATAGGATGGGATGAGACCATGTGTGCAGCCGCAGATGGAAGTCAAATGGCCCTGGTCAGCAAGTGATGAATGACGGCTTAAAGGAAGAGAAAGAGAGGGATTTCCCCATTTTACAAAATCCTGTGGGACATGGGAGCTGTAATAACAGTCATAACGTAGCTGCAGCTGAAGGTGGGGAAGAGTGAGTGCCCACGTGGAGCAGGAACCTCAGTGCTGCATGCTGTGGAGCCCAGGTCCACACTCTTGAGCCTGGGGTGACCCCCTCAGGCTCCCATGAATGTTTCTTAAGAATGGATCTGGAATAAGACCCTATAAACAACAACCTTCTAGAAAAACGTTGTTCTCTCAAAGCATTTCCTTCCTAGGTCCCTCAGGAAGAGGCATCAGGCAAAGTCTTTGTGGACAGCACCTGGCATGTTTTCCAGAGTGGGGATCTGAAAAGAAGCATCCATGAACTTGGACTCCTAGACCACCACATTTAGAGGAGTGTGTGCTCTCCCTTCTCTCCCTCTTTCTGTGTGACTCCTTCTTATTAAATCTTCAAAAAAAGAGTATCCAGGGTTGTAAGGGGACACCCAAGGGTGAAAGAAGCCATTGATCTAAAAGGCACTGAGGGAATCCCAATTCTTCCATGGCTCAGGCACCAGGGCCCCATTGGCGCTGCTTGGAGCCCACAGGAATCTAAATATGTGTGGATGCTAGCTAGCAGCATGGAAGCTTTGAGGGAGGGCGGAGGAGGGGAAAGGGATGAGAGAGAGGAAGGGAGGGAGGAAAAGGAAAGCTAACTTTTACTTAAAAAAATACATTATGGTATAATAAGAAAATAGATTCGGTTTTCCTGGCGCTGAGCTTCTAAAGCCCTTGGAATTTCCTGAGTAAGAGAAGTGTCTTTTGTGATCCATAAATAGCCCCTTCTGACTGTGCCTGAGGCCTGAGTTTACACTGAAGAGGTGACTTAGGGTTGGGCACCTAGACAGCTGTCATGGCGGCAGGTCACCGGGTGACTGCAGGAAGGAGCTTTCCTCCCACTGCAGTCACAGCTCTGGAGAGGGGGGAGAAAGGGGCTGGAGGCAGAGTTATAAACACTCTTGATGGGCACATCCAGGTGCCAGGAGGGTGTCTGCTGGGGAGAAGACATGACCGCTCTGCATGCCCTTCCTGCATCCACGCCCCGCCCTCAGCATCCTTCCACTTGGTGGTTCCTGAGCTGCATCTTTTAGACTAAACCAATAAACACCAGTCATGGCTTTTTCTCTTCCCAATTTGTTTCATGTTGCTGAATTTCTGTTCTGAAAATCTGAATCCATGTCATCTTTTCTCCAGGGTATTTTATATAAGTAGATATTAAATATTTATTTGATAAATATATTTTTAATTTATATATATTTATAAATAAACAAGTTTATATATTATTTAAAATTTTATTAAATAAGGAAAGTATTTTCCAGAGCTCTGTGAGCCATCTTAGAAGGTTACTGAACCTGGGGGAGAAGGGTACGGGAACCCTCGAATTTTCAGTCACCTGGGTAGACGGGTAGCCTGGGTACCCCATCTGCAGCTGGTATCTGAAGTGAGGCTGAGCCCTTTCACCTTTGGTTCTGATTTGAACTCCAGGTAGATAGAGTGAGAAATGAATGGAATTGGTGGACCCCCTGCTGCTGCTGGAAAATTAGTTGTTGGTGCTGGAAAAGCCATCACACGTTTGATGTCAGAAAACACTTATCTTTTCAAAACTCTTCCGGTGCATTATTTTGAGAGAGGAGGAAAGCAGGCTTCTTTCCACCCGCACTCTCTTCTCTTGGTGAGACGTAATGGTTGAAACATCGCTCTCACCTTGACATGCTGTCACAGCCCCAAGCAAGACATTAGCTGGCTTGTCTGTGAACAGGAAGCGTGGCATTTCCACGTGTCAGAGATCAAGCGCCAATGAATGCAGAAATTAAAAAGGTAAACATCTGAGGAAAAAAATACGGTTTAAAACGAATCATCTCTGGTGTGATGCTATGGGACCATAATTATAATTAGGAGGTTAAAGCTAGAGAATGACCCAGGAAGGCTGGGAAATCAAATGCCAGAAGGGTCACGGTTGCAAAATAAGAGAAGACAGAGGTATTTTTGTTGTTGTTGTTTGTTTTTTGAGAAGGAGTCTCGCTCCGTAGCCAGGCTGGAGTGCAGTGGCGCAATCTCGGTTCAGCAGCGCAATCTCGGTCCAAACCTCTGCCTTTGGATTCAAGCAATTCTCCTGCCTCAACCTCCCGAGTAGCTGGCACTGCAGGCGCACACCACCATGCCCAGCTAATTTTTGCATTTTTAATAGAGACAGGGTTTCACCATGTTGGCCAGGATGGTCTCGATTTACTGACCTTGTGATCCCCCTGCCTCGGCCTCCCAAAGGGCTGGGATTATAAGCATGAGCCACCGTCAGCAGAGAAGACAGATTTTTTAAAAGCAGATTTAAGTCTCTGGATAGTTCAAATGTTTCTTCAGAAACGGAAATGGCTTCTGTCATTTCTTTTCATAGATTAAATCAGATTATGTCTGACAGGCCTCTCAAAATGACAAAAACTAATCTGCAGAGGAACCAGCTGCTTCCTCCTAGGATCATGAAGAGGTGAACAGAAAGATCAGCCTCCTTCTACTCCCTCACGTTTCTGAATGATCAAAATCAAGGGCACCTGGGAGAATGAATAACAAAACCAACAAACTGAGGGGCAAAGAGAATTTTTCGTTTTTTCACTTTTCTGCCTTTTCCATTTTTAATGGACAGAAAATGTATCATTTGCAGAGTTCAAATGCCCTGGAGAAAACATTGCATGGACTCAGATTTTCAGGACAGGCATTCAGAAACATGAGACTCGAGAGGAGAAAAACCCATTGCTAGAGCCCTTTCTGTGGCTCTCTGCTCCCGCCCACATTTGCACTCCCCTCGGAACCCGGCCCTGAGAGCCTTCAGTATCGAGCTTCACTTTGCGTGTGTCCATTATCGCGCTGGGTCAGGCCAGGCCGGTCCCCAGCCAGGGAACACAAGAACAGCAATCAATGGAAGGTTGCTTAGAAGTGGCCCCTAGGCAGCATCCAAGCTTGCCCTGGTGACAGCTGAGTTCCCTGTGTCCACGCTGTAGACATGAGTAGGAACGCCAGAGCTTCTAGGCTGAAACACTGGCTGGGGGCACAGAGACACAGGCATCAGTTAGCTGACTGTTAAGGTTTGCTTTAAACCGAGGATTCTTGTGAGCCCTTAAAAATTCAGTTGGGTCCTTTGTAGGGACATGGATGAATCTGGAAACCATCATTCTCAGCAAAAGACACAAGAACAGAAAATCAAACACCGCATGTTCTCACTCACAGGCGGCTGTTGAATAATGAGAACACATGGACACAAGGAGGGGAGCATCACACACTGGGGTCTGTTTCGGGGGAATAGGGGAGGGACAGCGGAGGGTAGGGAGGTTGGGGAGGGATAACATGCAGAGAAATGCCAGATATAGGTGATGAGGGGGTGGAGGCAGCAAACCACACTGCCATGTATGTACCTATGCAACAATCCTGCATGTTCTGCACATGTACCCCAGAACCTAAAGTGCAATTAAAAAATATATATATAATAAATTTATTATATTATATATATTTATATTTATTATATATATAAATATATATATATATATATATAAATTCAGTTGGGAAGCAATGTTACAACTGCTAGATCGTCTAGAGAAGCAGCTTTCCAGATAAATGTTATCTCCCACCTCCTCCTCTTGTCTGCCTCTTCCTTTTTACCTCCTCCTCCTCCACCTCCTCCTCTTATTCTCCTGCTCCTCCTTTCTCCTCCTTTTTCCTCCTCTTCTTCCTCTCCCTCTCCTCTGCCTGCTCCTTCTCCTGTTTTTCTCCTCCTTTCTCCTCCTCCACCACTTCCTCCACTTCCTTTTTTCCTCCTCCTTTTTCTCCTCCTCCTTTCCTCCTTTCATCCTTTTTCCTCCTCCTCCTTTCCTTCTCTTCAGCCTCCATTTTCTTCTAAACGTGTTAATTACACAGCCTGATTAAATGGCTTAAAGGTAGAAACTGGGTTATATATTTCTGGTCCCCTCACCTGGCCCAGTTCAATGCCTTCCACATAGTAGGTTGCTCCAGAAGAGGAGGCGAGTTCAAAGGCGAGTTTTCAAACAAATGAAGCGGCAGATGCTTCTGCAAATGTAAGCTTTAATTACAAACCAGCTGTGCTTGAAATAATTTGTAGGTCTCTGGTGACACCCTCCGAAGCAAGGATGTTTCTGAACTCAATACTAGAAGTAATAATCCAGTGACATTTCTCTTGGAAATCACCATCCTTTAAAGAAAATTGCCAAATCATATACATTGCTGAAGACTATTCACTTACTTAGGGCTAAGGAAGATAGGCACCAGGAAGAGAGAGCTCCCCATATCATGCATTTCTCTCTGTAAGAAAAATGTCAATAGCAGCTCTGTTCCTTAGAGGGCACAGCAAACATCTAACTTCAATTTAAAAGGGAAGCACCTGCCTCTTTCTGCAGAGCCTGACGTTACGCACTCAGTACGGAAGTGCTCACAGTTGTTTAGGAGATGGCTTTACGTTGTGTCACACTACCTAAGCACCTCAAGGCTCACCTGGAGTTTTTGCTTCATTCACTCATTCGGCAAAAGCTCTTCAGTGCCTGCTACAGGTGAGAGAGTGGCTAGGGGCTGTGAGTATGGCAGTGATTGAATCCGCCCGGAACCCTGTCCCCATCCCTCCTCCTCCGATGCACACATTCTAAGCAGGAGGAAGACTCAGAACCAATGAACACATAGATGAGTGAACACAAAGTGAGTTCAATGATGAGAAGCCTTTGGGATAAAAATGAAGCAGGATAAAGAGAGCAGAGTGGGCTGGAGGTAGAGGGGAAGGTTTGGGACCATACATCAGAGCTCAGGGAAGACCTCAATGAAGAGGTGACCTTTAGGAAGAGACCAGTGAGAAGTGAAGGAGATCAAGTGGTTCTTAGGGAGAGTTTTCCTGGCAGGGAGAGCAGCCAGTGCAAAGGCCCTGAGGTGGGCATGTACATGCTTGGGTGACATGTGTCACCCAACATCAAGAGAGCTGTAAGTGCAGCCAGGAAGCAGAGGACAGAGGGGATGGGAAAAGAAAGAGAAGCCAGGCAGGGAGGGAACTGAATCCAAGGCCACTTTCAAGGGCTTCAGCTCCTCCTTTTGTCCCCCTCCTCCTTTTATCTCCTCCTCCTCTTGTCCTCCTCATCCTTTTACTTCCTCCTCCTCCTTTTACTTCCTCCTCCTTTTGTCCTCCTCCTCCTCCTTTTGTCCTCCTCCTCCTCCTTTTACTTCCTCCTCCTCCTTTTACTTCCTCCTCCTCCTCCTTTTGCCCAGGGAGTCAGGAGCCCCTGGAGGAGTCTGTGCCAAGGAGATATATGTTGGCTGCTATGTTGAGGACAAACACCACCAGAAAGGGCAACGCTGAAGCAGGAAGTTTGCATGGAGACTTCCAATAATGGAAGTGAGAGATGATGCCTATGTAGACCAGGGTGAAAGCATCATGGTTGATGCCCAGTAATTAGATGCTGGATCAGTTCTGCAGGTCAAGCTGCTAGGATTTGCTGATGTATCAGAGGTGAGGTGTGCAAGACAAGAGTTAAGGGTGACTAAGGTTTTTGGTCTGAGCCAATGGATCCATGGTGTTAACAATTTATCCAAATGAAGTCTGTGGGAGGGACAAGAGTGAGAATGACCCACGGATGCTATTATGATGTTAGAGGCAGCAAGGACAATCATAAATGCAGGGCTCTGAGAAAGGGCCAGGAAACGAGCCTGTAAATGGGAGGAAGCACTGAGCCTTCCAGGAAAGCACGGATCACGTGCCCTGGGCAAAAGGAGGGAAGTCAGACTAGATGGCACAGGTGAGGGCAGGGATGTGGTCACTGAAGCATGCTCCTTTAAATCCTGCAGGGAGATCTCCAGAGGGCTCTCACCTGACCACTGTGAAGGTTCTGCAAGGCTCTCACATGTAGCTAAAGGTGCACCTTGGGCACCTAGCAATGGCTTTAAGCAGATCTGGTTTTTTTTTTTTCTGAGATGGAGTCTTGCTCTGTTGCACATGCTGGAATGCAGTGGTGCAACCACAGTTAACTGCAACCTCCACCTCCTAAGTTCAAGCAATTCTCCTTGCCTCAG